TCAGCACCTTGCACTTGCCAGACAAGCGCTTATGCCGCCGAGCTACATCCCTGGCCCTGAATATTTTTATTTCCAAGAGCTCTTCTAATCTCTGAATGTTCCACGTTATAACACTCCAGTTTTTTCAGGTGCAGTATCTTATCTCCCTGGGAAAATTATTTACAATAAGTTTTATTCAGCCTCTGACGCCTCCACGTGTGTAAGACGCCCAGAATCTGTTTCTCGTGGCCGTTCTCACTCAGCCTGCCTCTGTGCTGTCACCAGACCCATTGTGGAGAGTTCCTTAGCGGTCTGTACTTCCTGTGGCTGGACCATTGCTGCTTCTAGGGACAGCACAGCTGCTGCTGTGTGGTCTCAAGAACCGTGTCTCCTGTGCCTCTAGGAAGACGTCTCCTATGAGGAAAGGGCCTGTGAAGGAGGGAAGTTCGCCACCGTGGAAGTGACAGATAAGCCTGTGGACGAGGCTCTCCGGGAAGCAATGCCCAAGGTCATGAAGTATGTGGGGGGCACCAACGACAAGGGTGAGTACCCCTGAGGGACAGGCCCTGGTCCGAGGCGGCAGCTTTGCAGAACCTCACTTCAGCTATAGGAAACATGGGGGAGGGGCTATAAGGCCCCTGTGACTTCCGGCTCAGCGTCATGTGACTTGTGGTACTGTGCGAATAAGGAGTTCAGCACAGGAAGCGCTGAAAAGACCCCTCTGACGTCAGCCCAGCCTCCCCTCACTTTACGGAATCTCTGCTTGAATCACTCAGTTCATGGTTCTTTCCCAAGTATGGAGCCATCTGCTGTCCATATATGTTTTTTTCTCTTTTTCTGTTTTTGACTGAACCCCAGGCCTTCACACTAGGCTGCAGCCCAGCCTTTTTTATTTTTTTATTTTGAGACAAAGTTCTCACTATGTTACCCAGACTGGACTGGAACTTGTGATCTTCCTGCCTCAGCCTCCCAGGGTGCTAGGATTATAGGTCTGAGTATCACATCTAGCTTGTTGATTTTGATTTTGTTTGATGGGGTGAAGTCACCCATGGTAAGTTGAACCCCAGGGTAAGGTAAGGCCGACGTCTGAGTTGGGACCTCAGCCACAGGGTACGGAGGGTAGTGGGCCTTGGTTAGGGGGCCTTGGTTAAGGTCCCAGACTCTGTTCTGGCAAATGAAGCGTCTGAGAACTCCCAGGCTATCCCACTCCTAAAGACTTGTCCATGATGACTGCTTCCCTGTCTTTAAAATAACCGACCTAAAGTTTCATGTAAGGTATACCTGCTGGAATAGAAACCATATTTTTAAATGCTGACCTCTGAAGGGGCTTTCTGATTTATGCAGCATTTAGGATCACTGCAAACTAAATATGGGTCAGACAACTAGGTTAAAAAAAAGAAATGGGCTTAATTTTTAGGATATTTCTCAAGCTGATAATTTAAAAAGAAACTGGTATGAACCACAGTAATATTTTCTAGCAGCAAAGTAATCAGACTTTGGAAAATAAGTTGACCAGTAGGAAGTCAAGAAGATATCTTTTCCTCTTAATGCTGTTCAGAACATCTTTTTAGATGAAAATAGGTATAAAAATTATAATACTAAAGAAAATCTTGAAACAAAATAACTATAGCTAAACTATTTTAAGTGCAGTCTTTGTTGGCTTTTGAATGTTTTAGGGCTTTTTAATTTTTTTTTAGTTATATATTTTGATTCTATTACTAATTATTTTCTACTAAGTAATCTTAAGAATAATTTAACTGTATTATATTGTACAATGTGCCCATAATTTACTCAGATACAGTTCTGTTTTGAATAGAATAATAAATTTTGCTGTGGTAAATATCCTATTACCTGGAGCCTTTTCTATATTTTATATTATTTCCTTAAAATTGATTAAAGTAAGCAGATACTGATAGCTACATTTTTTTTTTTTTTTTTTTTTTTTTTAGACAGGGTCTCGCTATGCAGTTCAGGCTGGCCTTGAGCTCACTTTGTAGCCCAAGCTTGTCTCAGACTTGCAACGATCCTCCTGCCTCAGCCTCCTAAGTGCTGGGATTACAGGCGCCACCACGCCCGGCTTCTACATTCTTGATATATATCGGAAAATGATTTTTTCAAGAACTGTTTGTATATTCCTAACTATATCTTGATCTGTGTAGATATAGAGGTAGATAAATAAATTGATTGATTGATTGATTGATGTGTGGTACTAGGGATCAACCCCAGGGCCTTTGCACCAACTGACATTCCCAGAGTTTTATTTTTTGAGACGAAGTGTCTCTAAATCACCAAGTTGCCCAGGCTGGGTTCTAACCTACTATTCTCTTCCCACAGCCTCCCAGCATGCTGCCACCACACCCAGCTTACCTGTATTTTTAGTATCTGAAATGTTCATTGTTAACTCCGTGAACAACAAAGAAAAAAATGTTGCCCTGGAAGAAGAATGAAACCAGTGTATCCTCCATGTCCCCGACACCCACTGCACTCTGTGTTTTTACATTGTCAGGAACCGGGATGGGAATGACTGTCCCTATCTCCTTCGCCGTGTTCCCCAATGAAGATGGCTCCCTGCAGAAGAAATTAAAGGTCTGGTTCCGGATCCCGAACCAATTTCAGAGCGACCCACCCGTTCCCAGCGACACAAGCGTCAAGATTGAGGAGCGGGAGAGCATCACCGTCTACTCCACGTAAGGAGGCAATTCCTTAGGCGCCCACGGGCAGCCCTTGGTTCCGTAGCCACTCCTTGAATCACCCTCAGTGAGATTTGCATTGGGTTTTTCTTGCTGCTGAATTAATTCAAGCACTGAATCCTGACAGTTATGCATGTTAATTTCTTCAGGCTGCAGCTCCCAAATATTTGCAGTGTATCTGAATAAATGCCTTAGCCAGTTGCCAAGTTGATGAATAGAGAAAGTAGGTCCTCCGCTTGAGCTTTGGATGAATCCTTGCATTTGTTATACCGTATAGGATTCTGGGAGACTCCAAGAAGGCCTCGGCCAAGCTGCAGCGTGCTGTCACAAATGCATGGAAATAGAAAGCGTTGGGAAATACCTGATTCGCACACCATGCTCCCTTAGAGTTCTAGAAAGGCATCCACTCTCCCAAGTTGTTCAGGGTCTGTGGCCCTTTAGACAGAGCACACAGCCATCCCTATTGCCATTCTGGCCCTTTTTGCAGGCCCTCACTTGCAGTCATGCTCCTTTGACTGTAGTAGCCAGTACAAATTGTTGCATGTTGTGTATGCATGTGCGTACGTGCATGTGCATATGTGCATGTGTGCATGCGTGTGTGTGGTTTAGTTGTACTTGGGGTTGAACCCGGGGCCTCATGCTTGCTAGGCACACTGTACCACTGAGCTACCCAGCCCTGTTGCACGTTTTTTATTGTTTGGGCCCCAGTCTCCCCCTCAGATACCAAGTCTCTTCTAGATGATTAGTGACTCCCTCTTTGTTAAAATCCTGCTGTGTGACAGGCACCAACCTAGTTACAGGGGAAGACTGAGATCCTCAGCAGTAGTAACTCCAGGTTGGGGTTTGGTTCTGCTCTTGAAAAACCTCATAAAATGGAACTACACCAATAATCTTGTACCGGACATTGTTTTGGTCCCCTCGTAGGGACCCTCCAGATTTGGTCATTGGCTTCACCGCTCCAACTCTGCTCCTGGGGGTGAGGGCAGGTTCCCTGAAGTTAGCACAGCATGCTTAGAATGTGAGCTTGTCTGCATTCTTAGGCCAGGTGACCACAGAGCCCCCTAGAGGTTAGCTGGTGTAATGCAAGTGTGCCGCTGATTGGAGCCGGCAAATCCTGTGCTGCTTTCTGTTCTAGTCCTCATTCCCAGTTCCCAGCCTTCAGTGCAGAGGGGCTGCAGAGAACTAGGGCAGAGACTAGGGCAGGGAACTGAGGCACCTAGGATTGAAAATTTAAGGAAGTACTTGCTGTCACAGTCGTCAGAGTGCAGGGTGGGCCCTGAGAGTAAGTGCCTCCTTAAATCTTACATCTTGGACATCTGCCTATCTCACCTTCGTTTCTGCTCTGACTTTTCCATTTTCCTTCCTGTGCTTTGAGAAGCAACTTGGTGCCATATGATGAGCATTTTATGTGCAATTTCCCAGCTCTAAGGGCTGGGGATATGGCTCAATGGCACAAGTGCCCGCCTGGTAAGCGCAAGGTCCTGAGTTTGATTCCCAGTACCAAAAAAAGAAAAAAAAAAAAAAACAAACAGAAAACGATCCACACATAGCCAACCACTGTTGGTTGAGAACCTTTATAGGGCCAGGATATAGCTCAGTGGCATAAGTGCCTGCCTGGCAAGTGCAAGGTCCTGAGTTCGACTCAAAATACCAAAAAACTAATAATAAATAAATAAATAAATAAAATCCCCGCTTTACTCTTTAGTACCAGGATGATGATGCTTACCAAGTCTCTTTCCGGTTGTTTTGTTTTGTTTTTGAGACAGGGTCTCTCTCTGCAGTTCAGGCTGGCCTTGAGTTCACTATGTAGTCCAGGCTGGCCATGAACTTGTGGCAATGCTCCTGCCTCTGCCTCCCTAGTGCTGAGATCACAGGCGTGCACCACCATGCCTGGTAATCAAGCCTCTTTAAGATTTAGTTGCCCTCTGCATAAAGTGCAGATAATATAATCTACCTCATAGGATTATTGTTAAAGAATAACAACATTAGTATAATAGTATTTATTATTTACTACGATAGTATTTGTAAATTAATGTTTCTGACCTGTAGTAGGTGTCAGTAATTACTCCTTCTCTTTCCCCCTTCTCTTTTCCTGAGGAGTGCGGTTCACGCTATTACATCAGTTCACGTAAGACTTCACACAGATGGGCCTGGTCTGTAATCATTTGTTCAACCAGACCCAGAGAAATCCACTGTAAACAATTGTTTTCTTTTGTCTTTAACTTTTTGTGTGGAAACTCTCAACTTATAAAAAGGTGGAAAGAATGAGATAATAAAAGCACAAGTACCCATCATCCATCACTGACCCTTGATCAACTTGGGGACAGTTTTGTGTCTTGTGTTGACGTGATACCACCCTGGATTATTTTTAGGTAAATTGCAGACATCATATATTTTGTTCCTATTTTACTGTGATGACAGAAGTAATTTTTTTAAATATAATTACAATCATGTACTGCTCCTAAAATTTTAACAGGAACTTGTTAATGTTTTAGGAATGTAAAATATCCAGGGTCCAGGTTTTTCCTGTTACCTCACAGTTTGTTTGTTTGTTTGTTTGAATATAGATCCAAGTATAGGATTCATCCATTGCAAATGGTCAGTACATTTTGAAGCTTCTGTCATCTGTCCATTTCCCCACCCCGGTGCTGGTTCACTTTCCCTTGTACTGCCTGAGTCTTTTGTCCTTTAATTCCCTGCAGCCTAGATTTTGCTGACTACATGGGTGGCATGTAAATTAGTTCTTAGAACCAGGGACGTGTTCAGATTCAGGTTTTAGAGTTTGGAAGAAGAATGTTTCCTAGGTGGCAGTGTGTCGGCCCATCCGGGATCCTAATGGCCAGTTGCCTCTGTTTTTGTGATCTGAGTAACTAGAGATCATCACTTCCTGCATGGCTCTTCATCCAATTAGAGCTTGTAAAATAGTAATGCTCTCTCTGTATCCTCCTCCATTTATCAGCAGGAATAATTCAGGAAAGAGAGGTTTCCCTTATCTCCTGTTTGGTTCTGCTGAGGTGGAGGCAGATAGAAAAAGCAAGATATAAACCAGGAGTGTTGGCACCCACCTGTAACCCCAGCAGTCTGAGGGGCTGAGGCAGGGGAATTACATGTTAAACCCAAACGTAGCAATTTAATGAATTAGTGAGACTGGATCTCGAGAACTTTTTTTTTAATTTCTAAAAGGGTGGAGGTGTAGCTCAGTGTGAAGGCCTTGAATTCAATCCCCAGTACTGCAGAGCAAAAAAGAGAAAAAGAAATCAGAAAAGGCAAGATATGTGCTAATGGCTTCTCTTTTCTTACCAGTTCTCAGAAAAATAATTTCATTTCTTGACATCCTCCAAAAGTTAGGAGACTTCCTCTCTGATTTTTTCGAATAGCAACAGAAACATATGAATTTAAATATCCTTGATGTGTTTCCCATCCTTTGCAGTTTTTACTGTTATTGATGCTCAGATTGTCTCACCTTTGGCCAGTGGGAGGGAGCCTCTTCAGACTGGTTTCTTAGCTATTTTGACCTGACTGTGGCAGCCGCTTTGCTTTCAAGCACATCTTAACTATTTCTTGCCCTAGGGCTGGGATCAGCCATTTCTCTAACAAACGCTGGTTCTTTATGATGTTAAAAAGTATCCATTTAAAAGGTAAATTGAGGGGGCTGGGGATTTAGCTCAGCCGCAAAAGCGCCTGCCTGGCAAGCGCAAGGTTGTGAGTTCGGTTCCCGGTACCGGAGAAAAACCAAAAAAAAAAAAAAAAAAGGTAAATTGAACCCAGACCTGTTGAAGTCTCCTTTTAATTCTCTGAAATCTAAGCAGAAGTAGTACCAAATTTGGTGTTTAGCCGCCTCTATTTGAATTTGATACAGTTCTACCCTTATATATGGCAATTCCTCAACCAGCCACTTGGTGTCACCGCACAGCCAGATGCGCATTTAAAAGCAGTAGTTTGTGGTATTTCTGATTCTGTTGAAAGGAAGCATTAACAAGATGATAGAAGGCAACAGTACTGTTTCAAATAAGAAAGTGGTTTTCAAATAGCGCAGTGACTACATTCAGTACCAGAACTAATTCTGAAATGAAAGCCTTGCATCCTTAATTCAGTCTTTTGTATGGCTTTGTGAAAAAAATGCCTACAGAAGTTACACATTTATTAGCAGCATTAATTATCACCACTTTTTAGATAAATAAAGTGCAGTGGAAAATAAAACTATCAGAATACATGAAGGTCAGGGCTTGGCATCCAATGCTGGGTTCTCAGCAGGCCCCCAGCAGGAGAGGTCGGGTGACTTTAATGAAACCCTCACCCTAATGAAATGTCTGAGTATCACAGAAAGAGTTGGAAATCAGGAGTTTAGTGTCAGGTGACCAGTGCTATGATCCCAACTGACCACTTAATGGCAGGACTACCATGTTACCATGCCTCTTGGTGCCTCAGTTTCCTCATCTGTAAGATGGGTGAGAGTCCATAGCCCATTAGATAAAATGGGATCATATCTGTAAATGCCCACCTAGTGCTAGATAAGAGGTAGACATTCAGAACATTTTAACCAGGTCTCTTATTGACATCACCTTCCTCTGAGAATTAAAGTTTTATTAGAAAAAACAATAGTGACAAAGTCAAGGTTATGGTAGATACATTTGGTTTCTACCCTCAGTTCTAATAATTACATGCTTTACAACTTTGGGCAACTTGTTTAATCTCTCAGCACCTCGGTTCCCTTATCTATAAGAATAGAACTTAAAAGGCATTGTTGTGAGAGCCGTGAAGTTGTCCTTATGAGAGAACCTGGTCAGCTACGAGGACCTCAGATTTCAGTGTCGCTTCTCCCTTTGAATGACCAGGCCTTTGGGAAGTTTGACCTTGAAAAAGAGATGTTTGGAAGGAGCCCATCCCCTAAACCTCTAAGGGTCCCCATGTCACCACTTAGGAGATCTGTAGACCAGTGTGGCCCAAGGTCCGAGCTCATTCCAACACTAGTACTGCAGGGAGTTGGGACCAAGAGG